GAGTTGCAGCCTTTGTGCTCCCCTTGTTTATTACAGTCTTAATGGAATTTAAACCCTCTTCTTTCTCCTTTCTCCCTTTTTAGTTCAGTCCCTGCAGCTGTTTCCAATTTTCCACTTTCTCTCCAGCTGCTTTTGGGGAGGGGTGCTTTTCCCGTATTCTCCCCCCGACCCTTGACTCCGTCCTCTCTCTGCCTGCAAAAGCACCTCCCTTCCCGTGGCTTCTTGCTCCCCAAGTTCGCCTCTCTGCACCGCGTACCTGCTGAATTCTGTGGCTCAGGTTGTGCAGATTGCCGTGTTAGTCCTCCAGTCTGTTTTCTAGGTGTGTAGGATGGTTTAGTGTTGGTCTGGCTGTATTTCACGGATGGAGACACACAAAATCTTCCATGCTGTTCTGCCATCTTGGCTCCTCCCCTCCCTAATTTTATTTTTTAAAGATTGTTATGTGTTTATTTGAATATGTTGTGCAGACAGTGTGAGTCACAAATTTAAAACTTTTGTGCATCAAAGGACATTACCACGTCAATACAAGGCAGGCAACTCAGACAACGAGAAAAAATATTTGCAAATCATATATCTGATAAGAGCCTAGTATTCAGATTACATAAACAACGCTTACAATTCAACAAGAAGAAGAAAAATAGCCATATTTTTTAAAAAGAGCAGAGGATTTGAATAGATTTTTCTTCAAACAGGATATACAAATGGCCAATAAACACACGAAAAGGTGTACCACATCAGTGATCAGAGGGAAATGCAAATCCAAACAATGGTAAGATACCACTTCATACCCACCAGGATGGCTGTCATCAAAAAGACAGACAAAAAACAAACGTTGGCGAGGAACGATTACAATTGGAACCTTCAAACATTGCCAGTCGAAATATAAAATGGTGCGGGAGCTTTGGAAAACAGACCAGCAGTTCCTCTAGAAGTTAAACGTAGAGTTGCCATAGGACCTAGCAATTTCACTCTTAGATTATATCCAAGAGAATTGAAAACATATATCCACACAAAAATGTCTATACAAATATTCAATACAGCTTTATTTATCATATCCCAAAGGGCAAACAACCCATCAACTGATGAATGGATAAGCAAATTGCACCGTATCCTTAAAATGGAATACTATTCAGTCGTAAAACAGGATAAAGCACTGATTTTTCAAGAATGCTTCATGTTTCAGGGGTGCCTGGGTGGCTCAGTCGGTTAAGGTTCCAACTCTTCATCTCAGCTCAGGTCATGATCTCTAGGTTCTGTGACTTCAAAGTCCCTCGTTTGAGCCCTGCATCCATCGCATCCATCGGTCTCTGGGCTAACAGCAGGGAGCCTGCTTCCGATTCTGTCTCTCTCTCTCTCTGCCCCTCCCCACCCCACTCTCTCTCAAAATTAAAAAAAAAAAAAAAGAATGCTTCATGCTTCAATATGAATAATGCTTCAAGACTGAAACTGGAAAACATTACGTGAGGTGAAAAACGCCAGACACAAAAGACCACATATTGTAAGATTTCATTTGTGATAATTACCCTGAATAGGTGAATCAAATCCGTAAGACTGAAAGCAGGTTAGTGGTTTCCAGAGAAGACGGAAATGGGAGTCACTGCAAATGAGTACGAGGTTTCCTTTTGGGATGATGAAAATTGTCTGCAAGTCCATAGTTGGTGATGGTTGCACAACTCTGTAAATAGGCTAAAAATCACTGAAATTCAGTACACTTTAAAAAATTTTTTTTTCCCAACGTTTATTTATTTTTGGGACAGAGAGACACAGAGCATGAACGGGCGAGGGGCAGAGAGAGAGGGAGACACAGAATCGGAAACAGGCTCCAGGCTCCGAGCCATCAGCCCAGAGCCCGACGCGGGGGCTCGAACCCACGGACCGCGAGATCGTGACCTGGCTGAAGTCGGACGCTTAACCGACTGCGCCACCCAGGCGCCCCCAGTACACTTTTTAAAAAGTGAATTTTATGGTATGTGGATTATACATTAATTAAAAAAAATTTTTTTTTTCAACGTTTTTATTTATTTTTGGGACAGAGAGAGACAGAGCATGAACGGGGGAGGGGCGGAGAGAGAGGGAGACACAGAATCGGAAACAGGCTCCAGGCTCCGAGCCATCAGCCCAGAGCCCGACACGGGGCTCGAACTCACGGACCGCGAGATCGTGACCTGGCTGAAGTTGGACGCTTAACCGACTGCGCCACCCAGGCGCCCCTATACATTAATTTTTTAAACTGCAAAGACAAACTAATCTCTATCCCAGAATTACCTACTTTGAGCACAGTATACAATGAAATGAGCGGTAAGTACACTCCAAAATATCGTGATTGAAAGGGCAAGTTTCAGGGGCGCCGAGTGGCTCAGTCAGTTAAACATCTGCCTTCGGCTTAGGCCATGATCTCGCAACTCGTGAGTTTGAGCCCCACATTGGGCTCTGTGCTGAGAGCATGGGGCCTGCCTGGGATTCTCTCTCTCCTCTCTCTGCCTCTGCCCCACTTGTGCTCTCTCTCTCAGAATGAAAAAATAAACTTTAAAAAAAGAAAAAGAAAGGGCAAGTTTCAAGGGTGAGTCTGAAAAGAAAGCCCTGTGAATTCATTCCTTTGGTCTGAGGAGTGATTTCTGATACCTGTCAAAATGGCAAACCAATATAGGCTGCTGTTTCCTTCTTCAAAAAAATCAACTTTGGAGAAACTATTTAAAAACAACAAAAGGATGGGGCGCCTGGGTGGCTCCATCGGTTGAGCGTCCGACTTTGGCTCTGATCATGATCTCAAGATTTGTGGGTTTGAGCCCTGTGTTGGGCTCTGTGCTGACAGCTCAGAGCTTGGAGCCTGCTTCGGATTCTGTGTCTCCCTCTGTCTCTGTCCCTCCCCCAGTCATGCTCTGTCTCTCTCTGTCTCAAAAATAAATAAACATTAAAAAAGAAAATTACAAAAAAATAAATAAAAACAAAAAAAGGAAAGTATGGCTTCCATAAGCTAAGAAAAATGCAAACCAACAACAAAATGTTAGAAAAACTAGCTGGTTGCGGGAATACTGGTGATTTAGCCTGGGCGGTGGCAGCTGAAAATGACACTAAGAGGTCAGGATGGGGAGAGATCTTAAGTTCTCCTCTTCTTTCTTCCCCAAAATGGCTCCCCTGCTTAACCAGAGAAGTCTCAGGTCATGGGTGTCTGAGGGCACCACATGTCCTTGCTGGGCTGAGGAGTTGATATACATTAATGTATGTGTATGCCTACATCCATATATAATGCATACATATGTCCTTAATATAGGCACATATATACACGTATTTTTATATATCATGAATCTCTTAATTGCATTTTTCAGATTTTTGCTGCGTATATGCATAGTGAGAGGGAGGAAACTCTATGTACCAAACAGCAGAACACATCTTTTTCTGCACATTTTGGGGTACATGTGGAAAAAATATCAAAAAAGTAGACCATAAATTAGGCCATAAAAGAGACCTCAATAAATTCCAGAGGAACAGGATCACATATGCCATATTGATCATGTTCTTCAGCTATAATGCAATAAAATTACAATTTAATACCAGAGGATGACCACAAAAATGCCATATGTCTGGAACATGAAATATTAAGAAATAACCTATAGTTGTAAAGGAAACAAAAAAAGAAATAAAGACATTCTTAGAACTCAATGATAGTTAAAAAAAAAAAAAAAAAAAAAAAAAGATAGTGAAAACATTTGTCCATAATGTTGATGGTCTGGTGAAGAATACTTCTGCCGAATATTTCTGCCACAACTGGAGTTGTGCTCACGTGGCATATCCCACAGTCTGGAATCTCTCACTGAAGGATGAAGTTGCATGGATTTTAATGGAGTCCACAGTTTAATGGAGTATTTGGATTTTTAAGGAGACCAAACTCTGATGCATATGGTCCAATCATTAAAAGTTTGTTTTCTTCTCCTGAAAATCAATAATTTTCTACCTTTGATGAAGAAAGAGCTCAATGATATGTTGTTGGGAATAATCTTAACACCACATCGAAATGCTTGACACAACACGAAGAAATACAGCCCATGCCAACAGCAAGGAAACAGGAGACAGGAATTCGCACTCAGCTCCTACTCAAGTGGAAATGGAAACTTCCAGAACAAGTGTGACATGTTGGGTGAGCCAAGGATGGGGCACTGGAAAGAGACTTCCCTGAGGGATCTGCCCATAACTTCTGGTCTTCCTTCTAGCTGAGCATTCGTAACTATGTGAGCTGCTACATGCTTGCTGCCATTCTCAAGGACTCTTAATGAGGAATTTAGTATACGAAGTGGGCAAATGTTGTTTTTCCCCAGCAGACGTTAACGCCCCACTTCTCTGATAACCGCATTCTAAATTCACCTTGGAAAATGACCCCCTTCTTGCTCTCAGGCTGTGCAGTGCAGGTGGATGCCAACCTAAATTTGGAGGATGGGTACAAGTCCAGGCCTGTCCAGGGATTTCAGCATTTCCTGGGCACAGTGATTGGTTTATACCCAGGAAGATGGATTTGTAATCAATCCATCCTTTGGGAGATTTTCACAGGGTTTTTGCTGAGAGAGCCACTCTGTCCTTTTGAGAGCATAGGCAATAAGGTACGTAAGTCTGGAGCAGGCTGGGGTTATCTTTGCTGCCACGTGGACAGAAGGCCTAGAATGGAAGGAAAAAATAAGAACCAAAAAACAGGGACGGTGGGACCCAAGAGATGAAAAGAGACATGTTCTTGATGACATCATTCGGGTGCCTAGATCCAGCCATGCGTAAAATTAGCAGTATCTCTGAAGTTTCTGGTTATCTAAGCCAATAGGTTCTTTTTTTTTTTTTTTTTTTTACATTTATTTATTTTTCAGAGACAGAGAGAGAGACAGAGTGCAAGCGAGGGGAGGAGCAGAGAGCGAGGGAGACACAGAATCCAAAGCAGGCTCCAGGCTCTGAGCTGTCAGCACAGAGCCAGACTCGAGGCTCAAACTCATGGACTGTGAGATCCTGACCTGAGCTGAAGTTGGACGTTCAACCGACTGAGGCACCCTGGTGCCCCATGAGCCAGTAAGTTCTTTTTTAAAATTACGCTAATTTGATATTTATCACTTCAAGGGAAAGAACACTGGCAAGTATAGCAACTAATAAAAAATAAAAAACAAAACCAATTGGATTTGGAGCCATACTTTTGGCTCAACTGATCCATCATCAACAATGTCCAACTATGGACACCTTCTTAAAAGAGAAGAAATGGCATATCCTAGTCACTCATATAAACAACTATTATTCTTTATTTAAAAATATGTTTTATTTTGTTTACAAAGAACTACAAGGGATTTTAAAATATGTTGAATTTTATTTTATTTTTATTTATTCAAATAATCCCTATACCCAACAGGAGGCTTGAACTCATGACTCTGAGATCAAGAGTCACATGCTCCTCTGACTGAGCCAGCCAGGCGCGCCAAATATGTTGAATTTTAAAATAAATTTGGAGAGCTGCGTGTACCCCAAAACCCCATTTTATACTCCACTGAGGTCACCAGTTTGAGAAACTCTGACTCAGCTTTATCCCTCCTTCCCAGCCTTCCTTCCACAGTGGATTTACAACCATCTCGTTCTATATGGAAGTATGTCTTCTGACTGTTCTTTAGAAGCCTGTTGAAAACATTTTACCTGGACAGGGAAACAATGAGACCTTCACTTATGTAAACATATTGGCTCTTTCGTTGGCTTCTGGGCACATTTTTTGGGTGCTCTTTAGAGCTGCCGTCTTAAAATTGGCGTGCTTAAAATCACATGCTTGCTCTCTGCTCCACTGAGAAGGGCGTTATAAGGAAAAGAATAGAGGATTTAGAAAAGGAACAGCGCACATGTGTATTAAATTCTGAGCATATTTGCATGCACGAGTGATTTGCAACAAGGAAAACCATATTGCGCATCAATATTTACGTTAAAAGAGCAAACTACAGGGGCGCCTGGGTGGCGCAGTCGGTTGAGCGTCCGACTTCAGCCAGGTCATGATTTCGCGGTCCGTGAGTTCGAGCCCCGCGTCGGGCTCTGGGCTGATGGCTCAGAGCCTGGAGCTTGTTTCCGATTCTGTGTCTCCCTCTCTCTCTGCCCCTCACCCGTTCATGCTCTTTTTCTCTCTGTCCCAAAAATAAATAAACGTTGAAAAAAAAAATTAAAAAAAAAAAAGAGCAAACTACCATCCAACCAAATGAGGATTTCAAACCTCTCCTTGCTGTCAGCTTCCTCATTTGCACTTGAAAAGAGCTATCAGTCAAGATTGGGTTTTTTTGTTTGTTTGTTTCTTGGTTTTTTTTTTTGTTACTGGAGAGATGATTCTCTTGGAAGGCTATGTTTTTTCTTTTTTTAAGCTACAACATGCTTCACAACTTAAAAGTGTGTTCATCTTCTTAAAATCACATGGGCTTCATTTTTCAAGCCTTGAGTTAAAGGGATATCGCCCTGGATAAAAATACATCCACGGGGGGAAAGGGTTATTTGCAATTCAGAAATGCTAGTCTAATGCATTTGGTGGCGGTGTAAGTTGGGACTGACATAGGAATCTAATTTAAAGTTTTAGAAACCGTAACTGTTTTGGTTAAAGTAATGCGAAGATGAATCCGTTTTCTGACAGCTCAGCAGGCCTCCCAAGCTGTGATTGTCAAAATGACAGACACTGACAAAGAAAATCAATTCTATGTCACAGTGAAACCTATTGCTGAGGTTTTTCATTAAAAAAACTGCAAGTGAAGCCCAGGCAGGACTCTTGGGCATATCTATAAGGTGTGAAAAGCAGCAGAAGAGGTATCTGAATCAAACTGAATTTAAAGATTTCTTTTCCAAGAGAGGCCCCCATTCAACCACCTTAACACTTTCTAGAACATTGCATGTCTTCTGCGCCAACCCCAAGGGTAAGACATCTAACAATTCATTAGTAGAATTGCCATGTTCTTCCTTTTCCTTTGCTTTAACAGCAAACACCAGATGCGTAGAGCCTGGAGCCTGCTTCTGGTTCTGTGTCTCCCTCTCTTCTGCCCCGTCCCCCACTCCGGCTCTGTCTCTCTCAAAAGTAAATAAACATTAAAAAAAAAAAAAAAAAGACTCCCTGGTTAGTACTCCTGCTGAATGGCCGCTGCTCTGTGCCTAAGTCACATCTGCCACTCTCTGAGCTCCCTAACGTGGTGCAGCAGTGATGGTCCCTGCTTTCACTTGTCTTGGAAATGACGAGTAACTGAGGAATCCCTGCCTCCCCCCATCACTGTGGGGCTGGTGCTTTCCCATTTCCCACCGAGATTCCTACTGGTGTCCCACGTTGTGAAGCGATGCCTTACACCCCAGCCCTGTTCCCCACGATGGGCATGGACGGAGGTCTCTCTATCAGGCATCATCCACATCGCCTTCCCTCCTCCCACCCTTTCCCCATACCCCAGCCCTAAGCCAAGGAAGCAGTTTGTAACTCTCCCATTTCAGGGCTCTGTAAAATAATATGGTGATGTGGTATAGTGGAAGGGCGATGGCTTTTGAAGTTTCCCCCAATATTGTGACTTTAGGCTACCTAACCGCGGTTCTCGCTTTGCAAGGTCGTTGTGAGGACTCAGGAAAAGAGGATTATAAGGCTTCTGGAACCTGGTGGTACTTGGAACGGAAGGTCGGTTTCATAAGCACCGTGTATGCGCGCGCGCGTGTTAGGGGGCAGAAATGACACCAACTGGACCGTTTGTTTTCACTTCTATCCCTCGGACGGTCACTGACTGCGGAGCGGGCTTGACTCGGTCCCTCCTAACCTGCTCCCTTTGCCAGGCTGGACTGCACAACATGTGGGAGAACGCGCCTCCTTGTGGCCGGCCAGAGAGTTGCGGTTACTTGCCTTGTCTTGCATCAGTACTTTTTTTTTTTTTTTTTTTAAGATGCAAAGTCACTTTCCTGACCCAGGTGCTGAGAGGGGTGTTAGGAGCGCGGTGAGGTCACAGGAGTTGACTTGGGGAAGTTGCCTTCAAGGAGTTACGGTAACCAAGGTAACCAACGTTGGTTGGTTGGCCGGTGGGGGATGAAGGATACATTGTTATGCTGAGGTTGTTTTTCCCACTAGCAAAGCATTAACTTTAAGACAGTTGGGAGTTCCCAGGGATGTCAGACTGTACCAGTCTGGAGTATTTGTCAATGGGCTGCAGATTGTAAGGGGATTTGATTTTATGTACATTTTCTTTTGCCTTTGTTCTCCACATCAGCCTGTGGAGGGGGACATCCAGGACTTTAGCAACTCCTGGACAAACTGGGACACGGTCCCCACTAGGTTTATCTCGCTCTGTTGCTGAGCTGAGACCAGGTCTCTACAGGGGTTAAATCACAACGCTGGCGGTTTAAATGGGAACAAGGATTGAGAAAAGTCTGGAGAATGGCACAATTTCCCTAAAGGTCAGGTGTAATCAGGGTACCAGCTCAGAGACTGGGGGCGGGGTGGGCCACGTTGGGAGAAGGAACTCACAAAGAACAAAGTTCCTCCCATTGTGTCTACACAGCGACGTTCTGGACTCTGTGATCTGGCTTTGTCTCTAATCTTTCTAGGACTGGTCTTCATCAAAGAAAGCCTTTTGCAGATTTATGAGCTATGGGGTATTGTTTTCCTTTTGGCAAGACAATTTAAGGGAAGTTTCTCTCTCCATTATTACATCTCACAGAGCCAAAATGAGAAACTTCAAGTTGTCCTTTTCATCCACCAGTGCTGTGCCAACTTAAACATTACAAACAAATCACAAATTAATATCCCCTAACTAATCACTAGAAGCGGAGAGAATAATTATGGTTTAGTCATGCAGTGTAGAACAGAAGCAGAGAGGGGCGCCTGGGTGGCTCAGTCGGTTAAGCGTCCGACTTCAGCCAGGTCACGATCTCGCGGTCCGTGAGTTCGAGCCCCGCGTCAGGCTCTGTGCTGACGGCTCAGAGCCTGGAGCCTGCTTCGGATTCTGTGTCTTCTTCTCTCTCTGACCCTTCCCTGCTCATGCTCTGTCTCTCTCTGTCTCAAAAATAAATAAACGTTTAAAAAAAAAAAAAAAGAACAAGCAGAGAAAGGCACCATGTGCCGTGAAAATTGGAAGGAACACCATGGAAGGTAACCTCAAGCACCTGGACTGGAAATGGGCCAGGACCACACGGTTCACACACTGCTCAGGCACAGGTGTTCCGGTGAATGAACCAGAGCGACCTCCCAACCTTTTAAGCCACTTATCAAATTACCCAAATTCTACTCCTGTTGGTCCTTGGAGGTTGCCTTTGCAAAGACTTGCTCGGTTCAGTCCTGCCCAGTGAATCAAAGCCCATCAGATGAAAGAGGAAAAGGACCAGGGTGTTGACTCCAAGACTTCCAGTCCCCTTTCTGTTGTAACGCTGCTAATGCAACTCTCTGGGTTTATTATTACACAACAGCGGTTTCCAACTGGGGATCATTTTGCTTTTCCCCTCCCCCCACCGGGGGGGGGGGCATTTGATAATGTCTGGAGACACTGTGGTTGTCACCACTTGGTGAGTACTACTGGCATCTAGGGGGTGGGGCCAGGGATGCTGCTGAATACCTCCAAGGACAGGAAGCTCCCAGGACAAGGAAGTATCCATTCCCAAGTGTCCAGGTCCAGAGAGCCTCCAAGATGGCATAGCTCTGTCAGGCTCTTCTGCTTTCCTTTTTCTCCAACCAGAGGAAGAACAACTGATGTGTATGTTCACGTTGCTGCCATGGGAACAGCATCCACACTTTCCCGGGAACGTTCAACAAAAACAGAATAGAGGGGTGCCTGGGCGGCTCATTCGGTTAAGCATCCGACGCTTGATTTTGGCTCAGGTCATGATCTCACGGTTCATGAGTTCGAGCCCCGCGTGGGGCTCAGAGCCTGCTTGGGATGCTCTGTCACCCTCTCTCACTGCCCCTCCCTGTTTGTGTACTCTCTCTCTCTCTCTCGAAAATAAACATTTAAACGAACAAACAAAACCAGAATAGAGAATATAGGGTGATGTTAAAACCCTGATACTTTCATCAATTTACTGAGCGCAACGGAAAGAACTGAGCT